ATAGGATTCATCTCCATTTACTTGACGAAGAGGCTTGGGTGGCAATAGAGCAGGCTTTGCCCAAATACACTGATTACCCGCCCAGTGTTAGCTCCCTGTCAGAGCTGGAGCCCTCCGAACCTACTGCCTCCACAGAGCTGGTTTGGAGCTCTTTTCACTTACTGTCTCTGCTAGAATCTCCCCTTACTACTGGAACTATCACATTGTGACCATTTATCCACTATTATAAACAATGCTATAATGAGCATAATAGTATATACATCTTGTAAAATAACAGGATCTGGCAGAAGTAATGCTTGCTTGAGTGTGGTTGGTAGGGTAATAATATGGGTATAATAATTTATAGTTTTAATTTGAACATTTCTCCTAAAATGTCATATGGTAGGCTTGAGTGTGATATTGTTATGTTACAGAACTACATGCTTATGACTTTAATAAAAGATTCAGTCATAATAAAGAGGTGTTATTTGTGCTGGACACTTTATATTTAAGAGGATTCCTACTAGAGGAATTACTGTTTAAATATTTAAAATATTTATAGATCCCACCAAATTGCCCTGGAAAAGCTTTCCTAAATTATAATCCTTCAAAGTGTGAATGTGTCTGTTTCTCTCTATCCCCACCAATACTGGTCATTATAAATACTTCGATTTTTGTCAAGAGGATCAGCTAATTAAACTTTTTTAAGACTTTCTTTCTTGAGAGGGGAAGGGGAGATGGAAACATCAATGTGTGGTTGCCTCTCATGTGCCCCCTCCTGGGGACCTGGTCTCCAACCCTGGCATGTGCCCTGACTAGTAGAACCAACGACCCTTTGGTTCACAGGCCCACATTCAATCCACTGAGCTATACCAGCCAGGGCTCAGCTTTATTTTTTAAATCTTCATTTATCTTACCATCAGTGATGCATAATATATTTACATTTTCCTGTTTTTGTGAACTTTGTTCACTTTTCAATTGGCCTGTTTTCTTTTTCTTACTGAATTCTAGGTACTTATTTACTGCAGATGGTAATCCTTCCTGTTACATGTTACAGATAGATAATATCTATTTCATCTTTAAAGGTTCAACTCAAGCCTTGACTGGCATGACTCAGTTGTGTGAGTGTCATCCCACAAGGCAAAGGGTCCCTGGTTTGATTGATTCCTGGTCATTGCACATTCCTGGGCTAAAGGCCAGTCCCTGTTTGAGGTGCAAGAAGCAACCAATTGATATTTCTCTTCCTTTCTCCCCTTCTTCCCCTCTCTAAAAATAAAGGTTCAACTCAAACCCTTCTTTGAGATTCTTGCTGAAAGCTCCAGTCCACACTACTCCCTCTGATGACCCACAGCACTGAACACACATTCATCTTTATATATATGCTCATATACCCAGTCAGCCCCTTCTGCTTGAAGGCTGGAACTGCACTTTATCGTTCTTTAAACTGGTATTCCTCCTTTCTTCTGCCCTCTTTGCTTTCTCTCCACCCCAAATACCAACATAAAGGTAGTATTAGGGCTACTATACTTCAGATTTGTGCTTCTAATTTATATATACATAAAACAATAAAATGACATGTGTGTGATACACACAAACATACAAGAAATATTACTGGTGATAATGACAGCATATGCCCCTTTGCATTCCAGCTTCTATGACAAGGGTCAGTCTCCCAACTCCCTACTCCCAATGCCTTACAGGACTAGGCAAAGAGTAACAGAATGGGTAATGTAATTCCATGGAAGAAAATGAGAAGTGGTGGCAATTTATGAGCCAGAGAACACAACCACCTAAAAAAGAAACCATATTCAGCTCTAGCAAATTGTTGTCAAGTAACAATATGTTCAGATGATATGTTCATCTCTATTTTTCAAAAGCAAAAATCTGTATTTTATGTTAAATGTACTTTTTAAATGTCAAGCTAACATTGTGTTTGTTGGGTTGGGAGTGTGGTGAGGTCAAACTCTGTATCTGTCAATTCAACAGACTCTGAATGAGAGTCACTCCACGTTTTTGTTTTCACATTTGCTTAATGATACAATGAAACATCCAAAAACAACTTATAAAAGATAAAGGAATTTATATCACTGTCAGGATATAGTTGTTCCAGTGTGGTTTTATTTCGGTCTCTCAGACTACACCAAACAACATGAAGGCAGAGATCATATTATTTATCACATCAGTTTCCAACAGTGCCTAGCACTAGAGAAGGTCTGAGAAAAACTTGCTGTTGTTGAACCAATGACTGAATAAACGAAGACATGAATAGGTAACCAATTTACCTTTAGATTGTGAATTCTAAAATTCAATGTCCACGTAATCAGCTCAGTATTTGGCACACTGGCACAACTCAGTATTTGGCATACGGTAAAAGAGCATGCCTTAACCCTTAACCTCACTCTTCGTACTACATTGCGAATATTGGTCAATATTTAATATTCATAGAACAAGATGAGAGAGGATGTTTGGGTCTCACCATGAAAATATGACAGCTCTTTCTATGACAGTCATGTCTAAACTCATGGCTTCCTGGCTCTCAACTCCAATCCCAATGACCATCCCCAAGTTTTATACCCTTTTGGCCCACATGTCCACTGTTTAGGATTTCTCTCTCCCAGGATTTCTCTGGGTGCTAGTTTCTGCAAGCCGATCTGTGGGGATAGATGGTTTGGGGTCTCAGCTGTGGACACTGCCTTGTTCTTTCCTCCTCTGCAGCTCTTCCCGCCGCCTTGCCTGCTGCTCACTCATGCAGTCCCTGAAGGCCTGCACCTGTGGCTGGCACTGTCGCCAGTCCTGGTGCTGGGCCATGCACTCCTGCACTGCGTAGTGGGAAGCAGCACAGCCAGAGCGGGAGATCAGCTGGTCTAGTGGGTCCTCTTCCTCACCCTCCTTCTTCACCTGTCGGGCCCAGGTATGGCCTTGAGCTGACATCTTTGGGAGTTTCTAGACATTAATGGAAGCAAGGTTAGAATAGGAGCATGATTATATATGGGATTCCTCTACTATAAATAATACTGATCATTGCACTACTATAACTTACTTATGCATATGTCTCTGGAGACTAAGCTATTTGAGGACAGATAATGGGCCTCATTCAATCTGGTGTCTTCAGCACTAGGCCTGGCAGGCAGGCCTACAAAATGGTCTGAACTAAAAGGAATGACATAAAGTATGTGCAAATACTTAGAACAACACTAAATACATTCAAATGGATTCTGCTAATGGAATTTGAATTAGGTGAAATGTCACCTTTCTAAAGAAGATATCTCTGATTCACAAACCAAGAATTAATCTCATCCTGGCTGAGTGGCTCAGTTGGAGCATCATCCCATACACCACAAAGTTGCAGATTCAATTCCCAGTCGGCATACATATAGGAGGCAACCCATCAATGTTTCTGTCTCTCTCTCTTTATCCTTCCTCTTTCTGTAGAAGCAATGAACATATTGTTGGGGGAACATTAAAAAACTATAGAATCTCTCTTCTAATATTGGCCTTATTCTATGGCTGCAGAAAAACAAAGTTTAATGTTAGGGAGAGAACCCAAGAATGGGTATAGTTTGATATATGGGAGGAATGGAGAGAGTTGTGTGGCCGTAACATACAGCATGTAGTGGCCAGGCAAGAACTGAGTCTGTGAGGTAATTGAGAGTACTTAATGTGAGGTGTATTTGCCCAAACTTCTTCCAAAGAGCATCTGCTTCAGAACACTGAACAAAAGGTACCATACAGAAGGAACTTAAGAAAGGCTTTAAGAGAAATGATTTCAGCCTTTGTACATATTTCACCATGAGACTATAAAGGAACTAGAACTTCTTAATGCCTTTTCTGTGTCTCTGACTATTCGACAAATGATCACTGAGTCCCTATCATATACCAGACACTATGCTACAGTTGAGGATACAGAAGTGACCAGGAGAGATACAATTCCTGCCTTCACAGAATGTATAATCTAGACAAGTAAACAGGCAGCTTACTATACAGTTTATAGATGGCTCAGACTGGAAACACAGTGGAATGATATCTAATCCTGACAAGGGTAGAAACAGGCAGAGAAGGTTTCCTGGAGGAACTGATTTCTAAACTGACTCTTAAAGGATGAACAGGAGTTAGCCTGAGATGGAAAGAATATCCCCGTCAATGGAAGAGCAGGGAGGGGCGTGGCGGGTGGGGGTGGTAACAATTTGACATGAGAGCAACGGAAAATTCTGTATGGCTGGGGAATAAAGTATGAGAAGTAAACAAAACAAATGAAACTGGCAAGGTGGCACAGTATTTGATTACAGCCAGGCCTTGTTAGCCATGTTAGGGTGTTTACGGGGCAATGGGGAAGTGACAAAAAGGATTCAAGCACTCCCGTAGCGCTGCATAAACTTAGCCACTTTGGGGGCAGTATAACCTGAGGAAGGAGAAAATGGGCTTTGAAACAGACTTGTGTTGGAAACTAGCTTTGTCACCGACATATTGGGTGACCTTGAGCAAATCACTTCATATTGCTTTTGAAAAATACAGATAACACATACCCCACAAGATTGTTCAAGGCTGAATGAGATAATGCCTGTAAGGAACCTGGCATGTCTAAAACAGTTTAATAAATGATAGTTCCTATTACTGTACTGTTTCCTTTTCCTAAATACATTGTGAGCTCTTTAAAGGCAAGGTGCAAACTTTAGAGCAAGGCATAGTAGCAAACAAAGTGCCTTAAATCCTAAACCAAGAAATCCGAGTTTGAATGGCGGCACACGCCTTACCAGGCAATCTTTTTCAGTTTCCTCCTTGAGATAACATTTAACTAGCAGAATTACTGTAAGGTTTAACATAATGATGCCAAATGCTTGGGCTACAACTGGACGCAGGAAATGCTACCGTACTCTTTTACCAACTACATAACAGCTTCAGTCTCCCTGGGAGTAAAAAGAGGAATACCTTTGCTCAGAGATTAGGGCAAGCTAGATGGCCGGCCTGGACTAGGAAGGCAAGGAAAGAATGGGAAAGCACAGAAATCCAGGAGGCCAAATCACCTGAGGTTCCTCTCCCACCTTCAGGAGGCGCAGGCGCGCCCCCGTTGTGCACGTCACGCTTCACCGAGCAAGTTTGCGGTACCCAGTGCTCATCAAACAGGCAGACAAGAGGACCCGAAAGCGCGCTCCAGCACGTCGGTTTCGTAAGCAGTTGGCACTCTTCCGAAATGCCCGTCTGAAACTAGCCTCTGTAAGGAGGGCGCGCGCGGCCCGGAAGTTCGGTGGGGACGGAGAGGAAGGGACTCACCGCGCGTTTTCATTGGTGGCCTCTTGGTGTAGATCCCACCGTTCTTACTCGCCGCTGCTCTCTCGGAGGACACATTTCCGGGAAAGAGCGGAAGAGGCGGGCTGGTGCGGTGGGGTCAAGATGGCGGCGCCTCTGAGGATTCAGAGCGACTGGGCCCAAGCCCTCAGGTGAATCCAGACCTAGAACCAGGACAGAGGAGGCGGGTAGTTGATGTTGCCTTTCCATCGAGAATCATGCCCAATCCAGGATATCCATAGGGGTTACTCATCAATTGTTGAGCGAGCACTGGGTCAAGAGAAAGAAGTCTGAAACCCACGTGGTCATTGTTTTTTCATTCCCGGAAGGGATGCCCTGAAGCTAAGAGACAGGAAAACTGGGAGGCAGTTGGCTGAGTAGTTATAGTCATTTAGTAGATATTTATTGGTCGTCAGCTATTTGCCAAAGTCTCAATACTCACCACCACCGCATTGTCTTTGAGTATGTTTGTCGTTTAGACCACTGTTCAGTAAACCACGTAGCATCTACCATGTCCAGACTCTGACCTAGATAGATAGATGCTCGGCGCTTTTCAGATGCAGTTAGATGTGTACTTTGAACAGAAGTGGTGGTTCCTGCCCTAGAGCTTACAGTTTAATCGGGAATGCACAGCAAACGGTTCATTTATTTAACATATTTATTTCTCTGGGTACCAGGATGAGTACAGCAGTGCCATGAATGGCAACTATTACTACTAATAAGGGGTTTTTAATTGAAACAATGGTAAAGATGAATAACATTCTTGCATTTAAGAAACGTACACCTTACTAAGTGGGCTAAAATAAAATAGCAATTACTACAACACAGAATGTGTGATAAGTAATAAAGGAAGAACACATTTATTGAGGGCCACCAGGTGCCCATGAGAGAATGCAGCATCAGATTCAGAGGAAGTAAGTTGTCCAAGACTGTGCAGCAAATAAGTGATAGTTGCTGGCAACCTAAATGCCTAGGCTCTTCTGTACCCTAAGAATGTTAGGGTGATGAGATAATGATTTGAATGACTGGGGAAGTACATTCTAAAACATGGAAAAAGTCTGTAAGTTGGTAGAACACAGACCTTGTATAGTAATCCCAGGTTTCAATTCCTGCTTCATAGCAGTGACCTTGGGCAAGTCACTTCTCTCTGAGCTTCAGTTTTTAAATCTTTAACATGGAAATAATAAGATACCTTGTTAAATTGTTTTGAGGGTTATGTAATGATGCTATATGCAAAGTGTCTAGCACAGGGCCTGGCTTACAATAATTCCCAAAATATCTAAATATATTCTTGACTTTTCAAAGCTATGCAGCTGTTAATGAGTAGTGAACTCCCTATTGATGAATTGGTTGAGCTTCATTTAACCAACAGATATATACATTAAACACTTAATCTATGAATATTTCTTCAACAAATAAAGTTTGTCTTGGAATAATTTATCCTTGGGTGAGATGTTAGACTAGATTATATTTAAGTACTGTGGCCAAACTGGAAACCATATAATCTTTCTCCACTTGCATCAGTGGCATCCTTTTCAGTGTTGAGTGAGCCTAATTAGGGTTTGTCTCTCTTCATAGGAAGGATGAAGGGGAGGCCTGGTTGAGCTGTCACCCCCCAGGTAATGTCCTTAAATCTACACTCATTCCCTTTAGAGAAGGAGGATTTACCACCCCTAGAAGAAAGCTTCCTACTTTCTCCTGGCCCAAATTCCTTGCAGAGTGCTCATACTCCTCAAACCTTCTTGACCAGTCTATGCTGCACTGATATCACCCCAACTCCTCCATTCTAGGGGAAGGCCTTCAGATTGGTTTTCCATTTGTAAGCCATAAACTTTTTCATAGAGACATTGCTGATGCATCTCAAACAGTCTCTTACCCATATATTATTGTATTCTAAGCAGTTCTATAGTTTGAAGTGTGACCTTTGTGAAGATGACTCCTATGTCTATAGCTCTAGCCCTGACCTCTCTTCAATTTCAAGCAGTTGTATACTAGCTGTTTCTGCTTGAAGCTCTCGTCATCTTAAATCATCTAAAATCAAGCTGAGCATTTATGTCACCAAACAGGTTCTCTTTCTTAATTTTCTCATTTAAGTTACTATCATTCTAAGCATCAGAGGGTGAAACCTAGACACTTCACCCTGCCGTATCCAGAGCTCCCAAGTCTTACCAATTTTTCCTTGGAATGACACTCCTGTGTTATTCCCGTCCATTCATTTGCACATAGTGTGGTAACACTAAAAACAAAATAAAAGAAAAAAACTCCTAAATTTGTGAGAACATTTTGTTTTACTGATTATTTTTTATTTCAGATATCTTTGATGATTTTATATAATAATATATTCTAGTTTATGAGAACTAGTTTTAAACAGTTTTCTTTTGAGGAAACTGGTGCATAGAAGAGTATATGTTAGCTAGAAGGGCTCATAGTCAAGGGTATTGTTTTGTTTTTAAAGATGGGAACTAATTGGAGAACAATTAAAGTTATAGATAGAGGAGAGAAGGACTAACTAGAAAACCAGTGTCTTAGAGGACAGAAAAGGAGACTGAATTAATTTTAAAAGACTAAGATAAAAGAAGGTGAGATTAAATGCAGATACAAATAAATACATAGACATGGGCATGGAAATGTGAGAGTATCTTATAGTCTCAGTTTGTGATATTGGAGGGAGGGTTTCGGGTTTTTTTAATAACAGTTTTATCAAACCTAAATGTGTGCTATGTGCTGGATGCTTTACATACATTAATTATTCTTACAACCCTGTGAAGTAGGTACTATTAGTATTCTAATTCTTTTATAACATCTTTATTGAGATATAATTCACAAACCATAAGGTTGACCTTTTTCAAGTGTAAATTCAGTGGATTTTCGTATGCTCACAGAGTTGTATGTCTGTCACCAATATCCAATTTCAGAACATTTTCATCACCCCTAAAAGAAATCCTATACCCTTATAACAGTCACTTCCCATTTCCCTTTCCTTCTAGCCACTGACTGACTTCCTGTCTCTATTGATTTGCCCATTATGGACATTTCATGTAAATAGAATTATTTAATATATGGTCTTCTGTGTCTGTCTGACTTTCATTCAGCATGACATTTAAGGTTAATCCATTTTGTAGCATTCATTCCTTTTTGTGGCCAAGTAATATTCTATTGTATGAATATACCACATTTTTATCCATTCACCAATTGATGGATATTTGAGTTGTTTCTACTTTTTGGCTATCATGAAGGAAGAAGGTTTTGATGGCAGTATAGGTGGCATGAGAATTGGCTGCTGTGGGGAATAGAAAGGGCAAAAGGAGTGCAAAACTGCAGTGTTTGGGAACATGAATTGTGGTGTTAATTGTATAATTGTGCACTTTTCTGTAGCAGCCTGCACGTAGAAATCTAGAAGGTGGGTGGGTAGTTTGATTAATTCTAATTCGATTATATAGACCAAAAAAAAATGCCAAGACAGATCATGTCAGTGACTTTACAAATGCAGAGAGGACATTTGAGGGTGCCAGCAGGAGACTAGTTGAAATGATGTATCACGAGGGCCAGGCTTCATAGGGCTGCTGGTGAAGCCAGGAGGGGTTCAGAGAGTGGGACCAAGCACAGAATTCCTCAGTCCCGTGTTTGTGGCATCTTTCTTAACTAGCATTTCATGCCACTTCTTTGCCAAAAGCTTCTTCACTAGATCTTCCCTGGTCCAAACTTCTACCCTAGATTGTGAGTTCCTCTGTCAGTGCCTTCAACTTCCATTTCCATGAGTGTTGTAACCAAACTGGTGTATCAGTTGGTGCCTCCCTTCTTGTTCTTTCTGACTTTCTTTTGTTCTTGACATGCCCCCTCCTTTATCTCCTGCCTGGACCTATCTTTCTTTCAAGGTCCCACCTTCTCTATGAAGCCCCCCTACTCTGTGAATCCAGGATGGTTTTTACTTCCCTCTTACTCCTAGAACTTCAGTTTGGCGCCAACAGTCATTTGCTGAATAATTTATAGCAACCTGCTAGTTTCTGAACTCTAGGACTTCACAGTCCAATGGGAGGTCAGAAATGTAAACAGCATGTTACAGGCTGTTGCAGAAGTGTATATATAAAGTGCTATAGGGGATTAGAAGAGAATGTTTTTAACTCCATTTTACTATCTGCATATGCTAATATACAGAATAATAGCTTATTTAGCCCATATGGTTCTACTTAAGTACACTTTCCAGATTAATAAAGCTTAGCTCTCTCTACTGTGTATTACACATATACGAGTATACTGTGGATAAAGGCATCTGTATTCACATTGATCTTCACCTTTCATCCTGGAAGGATTTCATTTTACAGCCAGTAAAATTCAGGTTCAGATCACTTTAGTATCTTTCTCTACAAATGCTACATTGTGTCTCTAAACCTTTATTCTTAGTTTTTAGCCCTTCAGTGTATTCCCTCTCAAATTCCGGTCATTTAGGCTAGTATTCTTCCCACTTCGCCTCATTTTTAACACCAGTGCCTGGTTTTCTTTCATGAACCAATTTCCTACCATCTATACAGATACCTAAATTGGGTCTTCAAGGAGAAAAAATGTTAAATTCTTACTGTTTTTTGAGACATGTTTCTTTTGTGCTATATAGGGAAACCAACTTTGTATGGCAGCCTAACCTGTCAAGGAATTGGCCTTGATGGCATTCCAGAGGTTACAGCTTCGGAAGGATTTGTTGTGAATGAAATAAACAAGGTAGGTTTTTATGTCTTCTAGATGGCATTGTGCCCATGAATATGGTCGTACCCATATATCTATTTTAAATATTTATACTGTTATGTGTGTATCAGTGTCATCTCCATTTCATTTGTACAGTAATCACAGTTTTTACTGCCTTTGAATGTCAAAGTTTTTCTTTTGTAGTTACATATACTTTTAAATGCAATCAGACTTCCTCTTCTCTTATACCAGCACTTTCCAACAGATAAATAATGTGAGCCCCATAT